CATATTCACGATGTAGTTATTAATGCTTAAAAATTTAATACAAATTCAAGTAATTCTAAGTTACATTCAATCTCTGAATGCTGAAAATATTCAGCACAGTATCTTATTTTTTACAGAAATCTGCAGAAAATCGGTAAAAAACAAAACATTACTGGAAATAACGACTAAAGTTGCGGAATTACCGACAGAGGATAAATTCACCACTATTACCTTATTTTTCCCATTTTCCTGGCTTATCATTAAACCACAATAAAGTCATTATTAATGGATATAATAAGTTTTTTTTTAAATTTAAAATAATTCTTGGTCTATTATAAGCAAAACTATTTAGAAATAAATACAGAACAATAATGCTCGATAAGCTTTATTATTCCCGGCAATATTGCTCGATAAACTAACGTTTTATGTGACATACAGTTTTTCTCGTATTTGTTATAATGAACCTGAGAGTCTGACTTCACAAAATAAATCTAGAATCAATCGTAAATTCAGAAAATATTAAAAAAAATCAAGTTCGTAAAAGAGTTACGGATAGATAAAATAAAATGACTTTACGAATGCGAAAAAATCATCGATCATTGCTGATGCCATCTATCAAATTATAAAGTCTTGTCAACCGTCTGCCTAACTATGATGAATGTTTAAACATTCTTTCGCAAAAATAGGCAGCAAAAATTAATGGGTTTCTCAATTACTTTCTCGCTTTTTTTTCCAGTGGAATATATTACCATTAGATTTCATCTAGAAATAAGTTAAAACTTTCTATTTCAAATATGAATTTTGAATTTATTCCAATCTTTATTTGGGCGAAAATCTTGTAAATTAATTCCCATCCGCATCATTAAGAATTAATTTTCGACACTTTGAGTTACTGTCTGTTTCAATTCCAATAAAAAAATGACTTTTAATAATTTCTTAATTATACATACGTTTATTTGCATTTACAAATCACGTATATTCGCATGTAAGTTGAATAGAAAAATCTTAAACTGTATTTTACAAAAAAAATCTATAAGCTGAAATTTAAAAAAAAAAAATCAATCTCGCATTTAAGTTGTCTAACAAACACGTTTTAATAGCATTTATGAACTAAATTTTTTTTTAAATTCATTTTATTTATTTTATTTGTATAGTAAAGCTTTGCCAATGTGGAAGTACTTTGATTTTAATTTTACCAATTTTAAAAAAATGCCCGCGATATTGTCAAAATTCTCTAGATATTGAACTTTAGTCATAATTTAAATGCAGTCCGGCTGCCATTAAATGACATAAGCTGCTATAAGCTTGAGACCGGAACATTTCAGCATGGTATAGGCAACGGAAGTATTAAAATTATTTTCATCTCCGTTGTGAGATAGGATAGAAAAACCATCTCAAGTCTCTACTACTTCCTAACGCACCTATGCTATTGCTCAAAAAAGGCAAGTTTCATTAATAATTATAATTGGTTTAATAGTATACGGCACTGCTTATGTTTAAAATTTCAACAACTTTAGTAAAAACCAAAAATAAATCCAAATAATTACTTCGTATGATAAATTTTTATTTCTACAAAAATACAAAATGAGTAACAAATTATTCAATACTACTTAATCTATCAATACTTAACACGCCTACTTAAAGAACCATGTCACAATCACCTCCGTGAAGAATAATTTTAAAGCGGAACTAATCAGCATTTGTGCATAATTGGAGCAAAAACTACGAAAACCTCATGGGTGGCTCAACTCCAATGGAGCTCTGATTTGTCTTTCCTAAAGTATAATTTACATCAGCAGAGCAAATTTCTGCTTGCAGGGAGAAAAATAAAAAATACAATCCATCACTGTGATTCGATCTTACGTAGACTGAATCTGCATTAGCTGAGCCATGCCAATTTTTATAAAAAAAAAAGTTGCCATTAGTTTTGCCATATATGCAGTCCCTGGCCAATTTGTCAGACGCACTATAGTTTTTAAATAATGACATGTTTTGCACGAGTTTATATGCAATACTTTTATATTTAGACATACACGTATTGGGTTTTTATTCAGGGGATTTTTATATATTTCCTATTTGTATTTATTTTTAACGTATTGGCATTACAATGTTAAGGCCCGTTTACACGGTTACAAGTTCTTGAATCTTGGAATTCTCTGTCCAAGAAATTGGATGATTCGTCGACACTATCCAAGTTCTTGAATGCCACTGATTGGTCGAAAGAAAAACTTGCGCATGCGCATTGTTCATATTCAACATTATAAAATAATACTTACATGAGTTTAAAATTACTAAATTCAAATAAAATCAAAAAACACAAATAAACCGTAACATATCAATTTATTTGGACTGAAATATAAGAAAACAGACAACAAAATGAGATAATCTGATGCCTGCTTGTTAACGTCACAAAACTTAAGACGCTGATTGGTTGAGGGAGAAAAAACTTGGATGGAAAGTAGAGGTGTTCTACTATCGTCCAAGGACTTGAACCAAGTACTTGGATTGTTTACACGATCCAAGCTCAAAGCAAAACAAGTTTCCATCAATATCATTTAATCTTCATCCAAGAACTTGGATCGTCTAAACAGGCCTTTAACCAATTGATACACGAACATAAACAAGCATAAACCGGTTTCAGTTGCGTTCTGGCGTACGTCAATTGCGGACGCGTTTCTGTGGGTTTATGAACTGTCTTTATTTGTTTCGCAGCTTTATACTACGCAGTAATTTGTTTATTTTGTGTGCAGCGTATAAATAATCAATTGGAACATTTTCCTCATGGGTAAAAAAGGCGATCTTTCACCATGCAAAAACCCTCGTGAATGCTAAAATATTTTCAAACCGCGAAATATCACGAAGATTGAAGGTTTTTGAAACTAGCTTACGACGCGTAAAGAAGAAAATTTATCCATGTGACGAATTCAGACCGAAACGAAAGAAAAGATGCGGTAGAATACTATAGTGTGTCTAATAATTTGGCCAGGGACTGTACATAGTATACGCTTAACATTTCAAATTTAACACTTAATATTTCAAGTGTGAGCACGTATTTTAAAGATTACCCATGAGCCATTTGTTACTTTCAATTTAAAAATAATAATCCGAAGAAAAAAATTTAATATAGGTATTAATGATAGAGCGTTAATTGGTGCTGTTTTAATACTTTTTTATATATTTAAATAGGTACCACGATGACAACTACAGGTACTAAAGAAATAGGTTTCTTACGGCTCACCTCTTGTAATAAGTACCGGAGAAAATTTTTAATAATAATAATTTTTGACTATTTAAAGTTTTACAAGAGTACATAGTACTATGCCAAATAATACTGAATATCGTAAATCTTAATTTTCATGGTATGAGCCTCTAAAAACATGTTTTACTTAATCTGATAGCTTAAAGTCACCAAGAAGAGCAACAAATAATAATAAAAAAATCGGAATTGCTTCAACTTAATTAATTGAACAATGAAAATTACAATGAAATTATGTATTGAAGCTATTAAAGGGTTATTTTCTTCCTTTATATTTTTAATCATTGATTTATAAAAGAATTTATATTTCTTTTTTTTCTTTTTTTTTACATGGAGGCTGCTGTTATAAGTTTTCTATTTTCTCCAAAGTTCCTTAGAACTCCCCGCGTTTCAGCGTTCTATGCCAAACGAGTGATTTTCTAGGGTTGTTGGAAGACTATTGGTTACCAAGCGGACTTACCTTGTTCTTCAACTTATGCAATGTAATATACTCAAATAGTGTCACTTACCTCGCTCATCCACTGCGTAACTTCTTAATTAATAGATTTAGCAGTAGAAATAAATGTTACATTCTTAAATAAGACTAAAATAAGAACTTTCCCTGAGAAATCTCAACTTTTTTAATAGTGTCACTTGCCTGCTTCATTCAATTAGCTCTTCATTTAAAAAAAACTAATTTATCTGCGCAAAATAAGTGAACATATATGATTTATTCGTGCATAAAAAACACACAAATATTTTTTATAAGCTCATAGAATACTTATAAAATTGTCTTATACGTGTGCACGATGCTTACGAAAACTGAAACAGAAAATAAAGTGAATAAAGAACAAATAAAGTACAGGAATGGACATACTATAGTTTCGGTTAACTAAATAAGAACCTTCCTCCGTGACTAAAAAAGAAAAGTAAGTTATAAATAGAAAAGAAACGTGATAAACATGTTGTTGTTGACGTATGCCATTATGGCAGAGGGGGTGCGATTGTTCTTGTTTTCCAGTGGCGCCATCTATAGCTAAAAATTCGACTTCTGCCACACCCATTCGTCACACCCGTTTATAAAGTGGGCCCATTCGTACATCCATTCATTCCTCCACAGATCGTAATTTTGACCTGAATCAGAGAAATGTCAATCTCCAATTCAGTACAGCCAGAGGTATTGATTTGTTATGGGAACATGGAGGACTTTAAGACTCGACACATTTAACGTGCATCAGCCACCATTTACTACACAGGGAGTCATCGGTCGGTAAGGATAGAACCCACGACCACTTGGACATGGGCCCAGTACCCCATCAACCAGGCTACCCCGGCCTGATAAACATGTGCAAGGTGCAAAAGCACTCTGGGTTTTTTTTATTACCTTGTCCAAACTCTTCTTTCTAGTATCTTGTTCAGATTTGGTTATCTATTCCTATTGGTTAAACACTTTGCACGAGTTTATCTCGTTACTTTTATAGCGCCATTTGGTGTTTTGGCAGAATGCATGTCAGATGGTTGCGTCAGAAGGCTTTTGCTTATAGAACCGAAACTATAGTACGTCCATTTCTGTACTTTATTTGTGTTTAATTGACGTTGTTTTCAGCTACAGTCTACGTAGCATGAAACTGTGTACCCTACCCTTCTTTTGGATACTTACAACAACGTTTTACTAGTGCATAAGATATGTACAAAATCATTTTATTCGCGGGTCAGATACTTAGAAAAAATATGATGTATTCACAACTGTGCAACCACACAATAACTTGACGTTTTTCTTCCACAGAGAAGCTGGAAGGGAACATGCCCATCTTACCTCGTGGTCGCCATTCGTTTCCCTTCCGATTCCAGTTACCAGAGAGTGCTCTTCCTTGCAGCTTCGAGTCACGTTCCTGCACCGTCCGCTACTACGTCAAAGTAACAGTGGACATCCCCTACGCCTCTCCTCCACAGGGAATGAAGTACTTCACAGTGATAGGACCTCACATAGACTGCATGGACGAACAGTACCTGGTAACTTTCTTTCTTCTTCTCCTTTGGCATGCATATGCATTATGCAATGTAAAAACCTTCCGTGACTTCCGCGGTTTAGTAACAGTCAATCGATCTTAGCGTAACATGAGGCAACTCTTGCAATTTCTAATTTTAGTTTCCTAAAAATAAAGGTCAAATATGTTTTTAAAAAAAGCGTTTTTTTACGATTGATTTTAAACAGAATTTGCATGAATATTAGTGTGTGTTTTGTGCCAAAAGTGTGAATTGATATTTTATCGTTTTTATCTGATGTCACTTAAAGATAGGCCCCTAGGATTTAACCCACATAATTTACTAATTTAAAAAATGAAACCGTGATGGCTCAGGGGATAGAGCGTCAGCCTTCCAGTGAACCGGGTTCGAATCCCAGCATGACTGGTTGATACGAATTCCGCTTCCGGTTTACACCGACCACAGTGCTGACGTAAAATATTCTCAGTGGTAGACGGATCATGGGTTAGAGTCCATTTGCCGTCAGGCTAACCGTGGGAGGTTTCCGTGATTTTCCTCTTCATTTGACGCAAATGTGGGTTAGTTCCATCAAAAAGTCCTCCACGAAAGCAAATTTTTCCCAATACTTGATCCAGGAGTTTCCTTCTTTTCTGGATTGTATTTGAAATTGCATGGCTCCTAGTTGGATATCCGAAGTTGAAAACTGGTAGTCGTAAGCACAGAATTGGGGTGGTTTTTCAACGACGGTCATCATATAAAATAATATAAAAAAGAAAAATCGTACAATTAGAAAATAGAGATTGAAGAAGATCCCTTTCAGGATGCTATATTTTTTCACAGAAGAATGTTTCAGACCTAACTATTAATGTAATATGAATAAAAATTACATTTACTACTGCGTATTATCCATTTAAAACAAAAAAATTCCATATACTTACTGGGGAAAAAATTCCAGGAAAAATAAAGAACATTTCATCTTTGGACGTCAATTTAAAAAAAAAAAATATTAAAAAAAATAGACCGAGTAGAGTTGAGTAACAATTTATTGACAGAGTATTTAAGTATTCGACAATAGTGACAGAATCAGAATGTGCAACAAAAAACTAAAAATAAATAAATAAAAATGATCAACATTTAAAATAAGTAAGTACGTTGAAAAACTAAGGTAAAAAATCATTTAAAACAACTATATAATGCACGTAATTTATATCTGTTTCTATTTTGGAGGGAGTTGAACCTTCATATCTCTCCAATGTTCAGCAACTTTAATATGATTCCATTGCGCGATAATAAGTTGAAACTCAGAATGATAATTAAATTTGACTAAAAGATACTTATGATACAACTTGAATGGACACATGGTTCCATTTAACACCTTATGAAAGAGTCATAAAATTTACACTATATAACTGTCCAAGCTTTAGACATTTTGATTCATATGATTCATTTATCATATATTGCTTGAGCTTACATTATCGTACATTATCTTCCTTCAGAAGGTATAAGATATCATACATTATCTTATACCTTCTGTACATTATCGAATTACTTTTCAGAAAACAGCGATTTTTTTTGTGCATAAAATGACGTAAAATCATTCACAAATTTATTAAAAGGATTTATGCCAACTTTATTAAGTTTTGGTAGTCTTAACATTAATGTTATGACAAGTAGAAAAAAAGTTAATTACTAAATAACAGGGGCACAGTTGCAGAGGTATTTATTCCATTATTTTTATTGAAATGCTCTTCTGTTTTCGTTTAAAACAAATCTCAAAGCTTTTATTAAATCTCTCGAAATCCATCTGAACGAAAAATCCTTGAGGACTTTAAAAAAAAATCTCTTTAATCTTCTCAAATTCCGAAGCTTTTTCTTCTTCTTTTTTTATCTTTTTCTTCTCCTAAATCCCATCTTTGTTATCATTGTACAAGCAGAATTCTATTTGGTGAAGGTATTCTTTTTTTTACCTCCTGAAAGTTTATTTGCGCATTTCTAACCGCATACACACACACACATATACACTGAAAGGTGTAGATAGAAAAAGACAAACCTGTATTCTTTTTCTTTTTTTTTTCTTCTTTTCATTATGATGCCTTGGAAAAAGATAAAAATAGGATGCAACACCTATCTTATGTTTCTGCCTTTCATCCTTTGACTACCAGGTAACTATGGCAACGAATCAAAAGAGAAGTATACAGAGCATGCGCTGTGTTGACGAAGAGAAGTTATGTTCATTATTCTTACTTCGAATTGTTTGTAGTTTAGGGGGGGGGTGATCACAAACATTTCAGTGGTATATAAAAGAGTAACCAATATCAAAATTACTGAATTTTACAAAATTGTAAGTGCTAAAATTTTTGCGAAGAAAAAATATTTACTAAGTTTTTCCTTGTTTATAGTACAACAATGTACTATTACTTCGGCAAATAAGTTTTCGCCATTTTTTTTTTTTTTTTAATTTTAACATTCCGCATGCCATTTAATGTTTCTGACATAGTGTTTTAAATCATTCGAAATCGGCTGTTTTGTTCTAATGGAAATCTTTTTTTTTATCGAGTTAGTTTATTATTTTCAAATTATTAAAATGGCGTGTTATATTGAAAAAAATTAGCGTTTTCGTCTATGCCTTCATTTGTTTTTAATCTAGGTTATAAGTCCATAGAATCTGCTTGTGACAAGTGTGCTGTGTAATGGAGGAGGGCATAGCTGAAAGAACCACTTTGGTATACCAAAATAAAATATTGAAGTTTTGACCTTTAAGACGTACCTTGTCCTGGCCGTTTAAATTACTTCGATTTAAAGCGAGTAAAGCAACTTTTACACAAAAATTCGTGTGAAACGATAGGAAAATGTCTAGAAAAATCACACACTTTTGACTTTTAAAAACATTTTGAAAACAAACGGTGGAAATGACCAACGCAATAGATATATGTAACTAGGTAAAAGTGTAGAAATATATACACATGTTTTTTATTATTATTTATTTAATACGGTAACTTGAACTTACTTTTTATAGATTTTAAACTCATTTCCTTTTAATGTTAATATAAAAGTGTGCAGTTCCCGAAATTTTACTTTTCTTTTCTTAAGATATTTCAATGATTTATCAATGATTTCTCTATAAGAGATATGCTTATTCTTAAGATATTTCATATCTGATGAAGTTCGTAAGTTTATGTATTGTTCCAATTTTTCATCAAAGAAAAAAATATATATTTGTTCTTTCATTGTTATTCAAATTTTTTGTATTTTGATGACTTGAAGTCGGTATTTTGAAGTCAAATTTCTTAAAATTTGACTATAGTTTATAGCTGGCTCAACAAGTGAACCAGAATAATCAGATTTAGCATGCCAGTACCGTAAGTAAGCAAAGGGTTAAATAAAAAATTATACGAAACTTGCGGAGGGCTTTGTATCAGATGCCGATCTTGAATGTTTAATTTTAAAATATGAACAATATAATATATTTAAGTTGAAATTAATACTACGTTAAAAATTAATTAGATTCATTAGTTGAAATTAATAATTAATATTGCATTCAAGTTGAAAATCAGTGGCTGGTTAAAATAACGCTTGTGTTAGACTAGTATTAGAACTCCAGCGTACATTTTGTTGAAAGTTATTTTTACAAGACTTTTTACAACTTATCATTTGCATTAGATTCACACGAAGTACTTATAACTAATAAGACTATGGACTAGTTTGATTTAAATAGGGATTTTCTGCTTCATGAACTTGATGAAGGGATTTTCTGCTTGATTCACTGAATTTTGCGTCTTGGCGGTTACAAAATTCAGTACACGTTGCGGGACATAAACTTCACTGAACTCAGGTGGTATAGCTTAAAACCACGTAAATTAAGGGTCGGTATAGCCTGGTTGGTAGGGCGTTAGGCCCATATCCAAGAAGTCACGGTCATGGGTTCGATTCTCGCAGGCCGAAGCCTCCCAGTGGTGCACGTTAAATCAATTGGGTCACAAAGTCCTCCACGTTGACATAATAAATCAATACCTCTGGGTGTATGGAATTGAGGATTGATCGTTCTCTGGTTCAGGTCAAAATTACGATCTGCGTATGAATGAATGGATGTATGAACAGGTCATCTCTGTAAATGGGAGTGATGACGGGTGTGGCAGAAGTCAAATTTTTGGCCAAAGATGGCGCCACGAGAAAAGAAGAGCTCACACTCCTTGCCTTAATGGCCTACCACAACAACAACGTGGATTGAGACAGAGCTTGCATTCGCTGCTCCCTTATGCTTTTCTATCAACTCTTTTAAACTTTTTTTTTTACTTCGAATGTTCTCACTGATAAAATTTGGGACTTTTTTGTTTACCCTATTAATAACCTTTCTCCAGACGCTGATATTGATTTTTTGGCAGTAAGAAAGTAATTTCATTAAGTGTTACAGAAAATCTTGATAATACTAATGTAAAGAAGTTGAATTAGAAAAATATCACGATATATCGTAAAGAACTAAAATTTCCTAACTAAGCGATAATAAAATAAAATAGCGATAATAAAATTACTATTTAACCCAGCACTAATCGAAACTTAATTTCCTGAATACTTCGTAGCACTTTTCATCTCCATATATTGTAAACCCATAGCGTCGTGGAGGTATTTAGGGACTATATAGAAGTGTAGCAAAGGAAAAATATTTTTTATTCCTTCTGAAATGTAATAGTGCTTTACTTTGCTGCTAAAAGGGAGATTTCCGTATCGTGATCTGTGGCAGAATTATGGCCAAGTCTTGGCAACTTCCTGGCAGCTGCCCGTGAAAAACTTTAAAAAATGTAAAAAAAAATGACAGAAAGGGACCAACTCAAAAGGTATAACTCATAGCCACCCCCGACTGAACATCTACATTTAAAAAAAAAAATGCCAAGTTTAAAATCTATTTGGCACCTTTGCGATTGTAGTTGGAGCGTCAGATCACGATACGGAAATATCCCCCTGCTAAAACTATATGTAAAATCATAGGTACAGAACTGGTGCTTTTATGAACTAAAATATGCAAATTGCTA